TTCATGGAAAGTTTCGGAGATCATATAAGTTTGTCGGAGAAAGGGCAGGATGAAAGAATTTTAAGTTATTAAGAGAAGCAGTATGCATGGTCGCAAAGTTTTGAGGAATGCTGGTCAATTTAGAATTGCTATACTTCCGGTAGCTGTCAGAGCAACATTCACAGATGTTTACATATTCGCAAGATGCGGAACAGAACCGACACTTCAAATGATCATATAAACAATATTTAATTTAAAATAAATAGCAATTTTTCCAAAAGTCGTGGGCTTATGATAGACCACACAAGATTTAATTTACGGCCTTTATCCTTATTTGAAGTTCAAAAATGTGAGACAGACGTTGAACTGAACAAAACACAAACTTGATGTCGGAAAAAGCTGAAAAGGAACACGAGAAATCAGTGTGCGAAGTTGAAGAGAATGTGCGTGTTCCAGCGACAGAAACATAATTTTCATCGGGACCGAATGAATAAAAACTTTGGTTTGAAAAACCATACCTATGCATGCAAGAGAGTTCGTACACACTGATCAAATAGCCGAGTCACAGAATAGGAAGTTATACCAGAAGCGTAACTCTAGTCGTTTCCCTTATTGTTTGACGTCCACGAAAATTTTAACTCGCTCACGTCAGGCCACGCCATCCTGGCTAGTACAGCCGGAAGTTTTTATCAGGATTTGGTAGGTACAAAGTGTCGGTTGTACTAGCCAGGATGGCGTGATTGATGACGAATCGCTTGTAAAAACGCGGACAAATATTTGCTCGAGTTACGCTTCTGGTATAACTTCCTATTCTGTGGCCGAGTTGGATAGCGCTAGCCATCGGTTTCAGTTTCACCTTCCCTTCTTCTGACAATTATACTTACATGTATATAGATGATTCGTGAAAGCTGTCTCATTTCCAAATTCAAACCTTTCCTCATTAGACAAGGCAGTTAATTGCCTCTTCTTTTATTCTTATCCTTGTATTATCCATGCAATTCAACATCTTGTTATTCAAAAGCTTTGTGATTCTATTTGCTACTTCATTAGCTATTAAGATACCTATAAAGTCTTTGACAAAACGTTGCAAGTGATTCTGATTTAAACTGTTTCATTTTGTGATGGCTCTTTGACGTACATTATGATGGACTTTGATATTTATAATAATGAGGCAGCTGTGTTTGTTCATATTAAAACTATTTTATATTAATCCTGATAAGGTAAGTCTAAATAAATTAAGTTCACAGGGGCTACAGTTGTTAGTGTATTACATTTTCACTTCAAGTCTGTGACTAGACTTCGATTCCTGCAATATGCACCAGTGTCTAATTGTAATTTTTCTTCTGCTTCATAAAGAATGCTCGCAAAGTATTTTTGTGAGAAACTTTTTTTGTTTCATTAAGAAGTACGTCTTTGTCAACACAGTTTCCAAATTGTTAGACTTGTATACTAACGCAATTAATACAAAACAAAACATGCGTCCATAAAATCATAAGGCCCTGTCACACTATTGCGTATCGTACTAGCGTATGGCAGTGATGTAGTCCTCATAGATATCTTATAATTATACACTAGATAGCGCATCTCTTTTAGTAAAATTAAAGCCAAGAATATTCCAGCGATTTCCCCCATTTGAATAGATGGCGGCCATGTTGGTCGTTCCCACTTGCTAATAAATGCTTAAAAACAACACTAACTTTCATCATTTGAATAGTTTAAAAACGTATTTGGAATAGGGTTAACTTAATGTATAAGTTCCCTGTTTAAGAAATAGAAAACATACGAATCTTCTCATTTCATGGGAACGACCTGAGACTGCAATCACGGCTTCAATTTTTGAATTGCAGAATAATTAGATGCACTATCTAGTGTATATAAGATATCCATGGTAGTCTGGAATGTTAACAAGAGGGGATCTATATCTCGAAAAGTGTCACGAATTGGCGTGGGTTGGGGGGGGGGGCTACAATATTATATTTTGGAAATTCTGAATTTGGTTGGGGTTTATTCTAGTAATTGTGGGACAAACATTCAAAATTACTCTCATTAAAAACAATTGCCGTGATATAAAATATTTTGAGCGTCTCAAAAGGATATGGAATTCAAGGCTTCTGTAGATGTTAACGCCCTGTCACACTATTGCGTATCGTACTAGCGTATGCCAGCGTATGAAAAATATCACTCATACGCCGGTATACGCTGACATACGCTAGGGTTACGTTAGGCATAGGTTGTTTTCAAGCACGGTCGCATATGGTGCCATACGTTTCAAGTACGGTGGTATACGCTGGTATACGGCGAGCTAGGCATGCAGAACTATTTTGTGCCTATATCGGACGTATGCTTTATACGATAAGCATACTCTAGGCACACGATCGGTACTTCAACAGCCAATTTGCTACGGCGCATGAACAATGCGATTAATTTAAGTAAATTAAGATTACAAAAATCATTATCGTGTTAAATGATGACTGAAAATGAGATCCATTTATAAAGAACAATCTCGTTTGTTGTTAAGATTATGCAATGAGCAAAAAATATAGGCGGCGGGCTCAGCCCCCCCCCCCTAGTCATCATAAAATTCTAATAAGGAGGGCTCACCACCCTCGAGCCCCCCCCCCCCTCACTACACCACTGCGGCGTATGCATGAGCGTATGAAAAATATCACTTGATACGCCGGTATACGCTGACATACGCTAGGGGTACGTTAGGCATAAGGTTGTATATACGTTTCAAGCACGGTCGCATATGGTGGCATACGCAGGCATACGGCGAGGCAGAAAATATTTTTTAAGCATGCTCAGAAGGTCTAGAGGTGCGCCAGATGTATGATACGCATATACGCTGGCATTTCAAATGAAAATTATTTCATTAATTTTGATACGCTTCTCATACGTTTCTCTCGTACGCAATAGTGTGACAGGGCCTTTAGTAGGAGTCAGATAATATTTGAGATTATATGGAGGTCTGATTTTTCAAGTGACGTTTCTACTTTTTTAGAAAAAATGCGTTTTTTTTTTAATTATTCTTAAAAATAAGTCTTATTTCTTTGTTTGCAGAGGAATGTCTTCAATACTACGAATCAAAGTCAGACGGTTTCCGTCATGTCTCGGTTTTTAGCAATAAAGAGGACTGTGAAAATAATAATGGCTTTTGGGTTTCATTCAGCAACTATTTAGAAAAATTCCCCAAGTATCAAACGGAACAAGCATGTAAAGCTGCAAGTTCTAGACAACGTCGACTTATTTGGGCCATTCCTTACCGCTCTGAAGATATTGATAAATTGAAAATGACTGGTGATAATTTGGAATCACTAAAACGTTGTTTGGTCGCACTTGATCCACCAGAATGCACCAAAGCTCCACATACAAGATCAAACCATTTAGGAAATGCCGATGGTGTCGTTCCACTGCGTTACGATTGGGCCATTCCACATTTCCCGTCTGGTCATCCACAAAGATGCGTCATACGAATAAGGTTAGTTATAAGGGTGAAATAATTCTTTCTGCATCCATCGCCAACGCTATATATAATCAATTTATAAAGACGTTGGTTCTTTTTTTATCCTGTTACACCTTCGTCTCTTTACGAAGGTCCATGTCATTTTGCGATAAAATTTAAGAAAGACACTTCTATAGTTGAAGTTTCAATAAATGCCAGCTGAAGGTATTTCATATCATGGAAATGACTTTAAAATCACTTTGCACTGTTTGAATTCTCCTGGTTAGAATACAAAGCCAAAATTTTATATATTTTAGTAGCAAGTAAATTTATTGTTACAGTAGCCTGTAGTACTAATTAATTCAAGAGTTATAAACAAAATGTTGTGAAGGTATTACCGTATTAGTCAATTAGCCGGGATTATGGCTTAATTATGTGAAAGAAAAAAATGGATTAAGTTTTGGTTGCATTTTGATAAAATTAGTTGTCTTCAGAAGCGTCCAAAGGTCCGTCTTGCTCTTGCGGGTCTGAAAGCGTAATTACGTAATTATATAATTTTGCGCATGCATACTAGATTTTTCGCTTGTGCATGGAAATGTCTGTAATCGATATTTTACATCAACAATAAACGTTTTTATATAGATCAATGTAGGTCAATGTTAATTACACTGCAAAAAATCAAATTCTAGTCTAGAATAATATTCTTATTTTTTAGATTATTTTTCTTATTTTAAGTAAATATTTCTTATCAAGAAATATTTCAAGAAAAAAAATCTAGTTTTAAGAACAAAAATCTTAAAATAAGAAAATATAACTGGGCAAGAATATTCGAGAGAATTTTTTTCTTATTTTAAGAATAACATTTTTCCATTCTAGAATAATATTCTTATAATTAGAAAAACAATCTTGAAATAAAGTTTAATATTATTTATCGCATGTATCAAAACCTTTCTTTTGGCAACTTTTGCATGGCTAAAACGAGATATGATATTGAATTGAATAAACCTAATTGTAATATTGTATATCTTTCACTTTTTTGTCAAATTTGAAGCTGAACGGCTCTGTCCTGAATTGTCGCAGTTTCAACATGGCGGATATCACAATGAATTTGAATATGCCCAATGAATTGCTGCTATTGAAAAATAACAATTATATATGAATTCAAATCATTTGCAACAATCGTCCATCTACGCTTTAATGAAGATGGTATGATCCACCGCAAAAAAATGAAGTGTAAATTTACCCAAGATTTTGCGTAAATATCACCGACATGTTATGACATCACGGTTAATGCTGTCAAATGTTATGACATGCGATACGTTAAACGATAAAAATTTTATATTATTGCAATTGACCATTTGCGTAATAGACTAAATTTTCATCTCAACAAAAATTTCATTACAGCCTGAAAGAGCATCACAAAATTAGTAATATTCCAAAGTTTCGTTGCAAAATGTTGTAAAATGCGGAAAATATAGCCTTGCGAAATTTGCAATTTTCAGTCATTTTAGATTACAAATCGGAAATTGACAGCCTCGAAGGGTTTGGGGCTGTCAATTTCCCGTTTGTAATCCGAAAATGACTGAAAATTGCAAATTTCGCTAGGCTATATTTTTCGCATTTTACAACATTTTGCAACGAAACTCTGGAATATTACTAATATTGTGATGCTCCTTCAAGCTGTGATGAAATTTTTGTCTAAACTTGTTTAGTTCAAAATTTAGTCTATTACGCAAATGGTCAATTGTTAGGAAATATCAACGCTAAAGAAATCATTAAGTTTGTAAAACGGTATTTGCAGAATCCTCACGATTTGCTGGTCAAAACAGAGGAATTTTAGCGATGGATTGTGGTGATAAAAATACGCACAACCCATGGCATGCTTGTTTCCCAAATATTGCAGGGGCTTTCCCTTTTAGGAGGTAAATCACTATTCATTCCATAGTTAAAAACCAAAAGTGTTTTGAACGATCGTTTCACCCGCTGCCTACCCCCCTCGCTGGAGCTGCATATTAAACTGAACTACACAGTTTCGTAGATCAGTCTATTTAATCTGCAGATAAGTTTTATATTTAACCACGTATTATTTAATATATATATTATCCCAATAATATATCAACCGTCAATGAAATCCGTTATGGTCATTTTGTAGTGTTTTCAATTTTGAACCCTTAATCAAATGGCAAATCAGACTTGCTACACATTTTCCCAACATATACT